GTTGATGGTCTTATGATTTGAAGATTTTGCATTTTAAATTTTGTGTACATGGTCTGGAATTTTATGTGAAATTGTGTGTTTGATCTTTGACCTCTGTTTACTACAGTCCTGATTTGCCACTAATTTGATAGCAAGACATAAGAGCCTACTGTAAACAAGCTGCTCACTTTACATAGCTATGTTTGGCTCCTAAATGAAGAAGTATGTATGGAATATACTTTGGGTACTGTAGCCTCCTAAAGAAATAATAAAAACCACATCACTGCTTAGTTCTCCAGGTAACATTTACATTAGAGAAAATAAGTTGCATGCCTAATAGAGAGAGAAAATGTAGTTCTTGTCCATTCTGGGTTTGTTTGCTTAAAATTATTCTTTAAAGTATTTGAAAGCTGAGGCAGTCTCTTTTGAAGTCAGTGGGAGCTTTGACATTGATTTTAAAAGGATCAGGATTAAGCCTAAATTGGTAGGGTCTAGAAGGCAAAAATGAAAACATCCAAAGTCTACAAATCTCTCACTGATCCACCATGCAGAAAGGAAGGACAAAAGCCTTCTCCAAGGTCTGTAACATACATCTTGATTCCAGAACTTTTATTTTTTGTACATTTGTAGACTTCAAGATGGAAAGCAACTTTCCAAAGGACTGTAATTGCTAGCATATGAAGTAGTACACACTTGCACCATGGTCTTGTAAAGATGCTGGCGGAAGGGAGATGAAAGCTGCTTATAAAAATCAACTGACTGTTGGTACACATCTTCCACGAATTGTCCTGCACTGTCCATTACACAGTACTCCCTGCCTGCAACCCACTCCAGGCAGGTCTCCAGCCCACAGGTACAGCCTTACACATAGTGAGTGACCAGCAAAAGCCTGCTTGTAGACATTTAACTCAGAAACACGTCTGATCATCCTGCTCAAGCTCAGCATTTTGGCACTCATCTGGCACTAGCAGCTGGGTAAAAGCAAGGTCTTCAACTCTCTCCTGCACCATCCTGCTGGAACCATCTGTCCCAACACTGAACTTCCCATCACCCAGGGCTCTGTCCTCACAGGAACACCTAAATACCCTGGACAAAGGGAGAAGGAAACCATTTGGCAGAGAAGGAAACCTATTTGGCAGAGAAAGAAACCATTGACTCTTTAATTTTCTGTCCCGGGAAATCTCAGTAACTGTGGCCAGAGCCGTGTAGTCAAGGACAGGGACTCCTCAGCTGAGAGTGTGGCTCATCTAAAATGGCAAAGTGTAAGCTCAGAGAAGTGATGGGGCATGGGCAAACACACATGAAAAGCCCTCTTCTTTCCTCTTCAGACACCAAGTGCATTGAATATCCCAAATGCAGGGGCACCAGGTCAAGCTCTTCATGGACGACTTCCAGAGGCTAAAGCAACCAGGGTTAGGAACCTGCCTGTTCTGTTGGTTTATGAGGTCCCAATGTCATACAAGCCAGAGTTCAGGGACACACACACAGATCAGGCACTGTCCCACATCATCTGAACCTGAAGCTGACAAAGCATCCATTACAGTCTCCAAATCCTCATGACCAAACAGAGGAACATTATCTGTTGTTAACAGCCACTGATGCTTGGCCCATGCAGCATGCAAGTGAGGGAATCCATGAAATGAACACCCAAAACAGTCTCTTGCATCTCCATTGCTCAGAAATATCCCAAGATGTTAAAAACTTGATGGGATGCACAAGAGAAGGTGGATGTAATCTCCCAGGCTGTGAAGTCCCTTCTCTTCTACCCAAAAATGTCGGGCAATAGAATGAGAGGAGTCAAACACTGACACCTGCAGCTTACTCTCTTTAACCAGCCTTGAGATTTCTCAGCAAATCAACTCAAGAAGTGTCTACTCCATCTTCACAGGTGCTGCCTTGTGCTGTGTGCTACTCCAAGGGAGTGAGGTGCTGCTCACAGGGAGAAACAGTCCTGTCCTGATACTGATGTGGTCAGCCACCACAGAGACACAAATCTGCTCATCTATTGCCTTTGCCCATGTGTAAAAACAGACAGTCAGGTCACCTTTCTGAAAATACTTTTCTTGAGGTAGTTTTTTGAGCTACTGCACAGTACAACAAATACAGCAACCAAAGATACACAGACAGAGATTTTTACATGGTGTGTTCTGCACATATCCCCAGTGAAGTGACCTTGCTAATGTGTTGTAGTACCCACTGAAAATGCCTTATATTTCCATGTTTTTGAAGTGACTGTAGTCTATCCTGCTGGCCCAGCTGGCAGAAGACACCCCTGATTTGAAGGGCTCTCAAATGGAACTTGACTTTGGGAACAAACTTCCAGCACAGCTGTGTGCCACTGAAAACTGGGAGTAATGTTCTCAGTTAAAACATCTTGCAGATCCCATCTTCTGCTTCCACTTCATGGGACACTTCCTCAGGATATTTCAGGATCCAGTCCTAAGGACTTAATACCTTTATGCCAAACACCTCAGCATCACTTTTAGCCTGAAAATAGAAATGCACAAATGTAGGGACTTTGGCACACACTTAGTTGTTTTTCCTAATGGAGGGTAGTAACTGAGCAGAAATAGTTTTTAAAATATTCTTCAATATTTTAATAGGGCTGGTTTACAATGTAAAGTTAAATTAATCAGAATAACTGAATAATGGTTTTATATGCAAGACAATCAGAGATCTTCAATAAATAAAGGTTGCCATAGGAGCCCCTGGCATGTTTAGACTGAGTTGGTATGTCTGGAACCAACTGTGGAAGAATGATCTGTCATTGTTAGATCAACTTTAAAAGCATTTCAACAAGGGCTCCATGTAGACAGCATTACAGAAAACCTGTTCCAATAGCTTTCTTATGCAAGAGAAAACCACAGTCATATTTGTATTTTAGGCAGTGAACCAACAAGAATGAAGCAAAACAACAGCAACTGTCCCCAGGAGATATTTTGGGCTGCTCCTCTCCTCCCACTCCCCTTACACTCCTTTTCAATCTCCTACCAATCTGGGCATTTTTGGCAACAGAGAACCATACTGAAAAAGTCATTGGCAGGCTGATAGGGACCACTGTGTCTTTTGGCTACCAAAGACAATTTCTCCAGCCTGGCCGAGCATCAACCTCTTTGCTCCCTATTTTGAGCTGGGGCAGAGGTGAATGTGTGAAGAAGGGTGAGGAATGGGAGAACTTTCCTCAGCTCAGCAACCTTTGACAATCGTTGCTGCTTTTCCTCTTCATCCCGGGATCTGCTATACAACAAGTGCAAATTGAGCATGACAAATAAGAGCATTAGCCTGGTGTTTCTGCTCAAATGATTTGCCTTGAAGTAGCTGATGTTGACACTTAAATTGTCAGCAGACTTCTAGTTTAGCACTGCAGTTAGAAGAATGGGTCCTTTCACACTTCCCTCTGGGCTATTGTTTCAACTCTCTCTAGACAGGGCAAATATCATTGTAGCAGTTTACACTCCAGTTTCACTGCACTGGTTATTTTGCAGTCATAACCAAGATTGCCTAGAATTTTTTCTATAATGTAAGCTTAGACTGCAGAGAATAATTACACAACACTGTAAAAATAATCTGCAGCAATTTACACAGCCATGAAATGCTGGAGCTGTTTTTTTCCATCATACCTATATATACATGGCTGCAGCTAATTCCAATATTTACAAAGGACTCAATGGAGCTGTGATCACAGAAACTGGTATTTCAAGTTAGGCCACACGCATGAATAAAACATTTATTGCTATAAGACAAGATTTTGTATTTTGGGGTGTTGTACCATCATCTAACTGAAGAATTACCTTGCCACTTCTGGCTTTTCTAAATCCCCTTCTGTCCGGATTCAAATAAATCCTTGTGGCTAAGATATTATGCGTTCAAGTTGGAAAGTATTAATTTAGCTACAGTTTCTTTCCTGTAATTGTGTGTTTCTTCTATTTTAGACCTAATTAATCATACTGGCAGTCAGCTTTGCTGCTGCTCATTTCTATTAGGGGTTGTATCTCCTTGCCTGCTGGAAGCTCAGCTCCCAGCCTGCTATCCTGCATGCTGACTTGTCCTCTCTCAATGCATCTTGCTGATGGTAGCACTACTGGGACTAAGAAATCAATGCCAGCTCTTCTTAAGAGTAGGAGAAAACCAATATAGCAGGGAGCAGAATAATTGCCCACTGACCCTTGTCTGCTGCAATAATTGTCAGGACTTTGGGTTTCAAACCCAGCTAAGCAAAGGAATGAATTAATGCAAGTCGGTTCCTCCAAGGTACAGGATGAGCTCTCTGGATTGCATGCAGTTGTATTGTCAACAGCCTGAAGATGTGGTGTCTTAATATTTCTTTCTATGCTTCTCTGGAGAGGCCTACTTCTGTCTCCTATGTAATTCTGCCAAGCTCGTACCTTGCCTGCTTTACACTCACTTTAACGAGCTTGTTTAGTCATTGTTTTCCCCGGAAGAAACAAATGATCAAATCAAAACTAAAAGAATGAATGAATAAAGCCACAGACTGAGAATTAACACATTGACTGAAGTCTCTGAAAATAAACTATTCAGGAAATAATTAGAAGAGAAAAATACAGGACATAAGTAAGAATTTATGTAAGTGACTATCTGCCTTTGGGAACAACAACTTCTAAGTTTTGCAATCTAGCAGTGAGGAATTAATACTTAACCACTAGGTTTAGGCAGTGATTTGAAGGAGTTAAATTCCCAGGCTGCCTCTTCAGAGGAGGGTGGGGCATTGGGGAAGTCAGAGACCAAAAAAAAGGCACCTGAATGCCCTGGGAAGGAGCAGCAAAACCTTCTGTCAAGGTCCCCTTCCTCTCCTGTGCTCCAACCACTCCAGCTAAGGGTGTCCTGGTGCACACCAGCAATTGCAGCCCTGGCTGCACACATCTGCATGCAGAGGATGTGAGGAGCCTTTCTCACATCAGGAAGAGAGTGCCACGTCCTGCTCACCTCTCCTCAGAGCCACCCCTCCCCACTGGTGTGACATTGCACAGCATGGCCAGTGGCTGGGGCCTGAGGGCAGGGCCATGGACATCATCCCAGGCACCTTGGAATGAATCCTTTGGGGGAGCAGGATCTGGGAGTGGGCCCCTATCTGGGCCCTGGTACAGCACACACAAGGTAAGTGCCAGCAGCAGCAGGGCTTGGGGAGAGGGGCACTGAATTCAGCCTCTCTCCTGGGTCCTCTGAAGAGACCCATTCCAGCACCTGTTTGCTGCTGGCTCTGCTCCCTCCTCACCCCATAGTTCAGCCTGTGCTGCCCTGGCTCCCTCTCTGAGCAGTCCTTTCTGAGCAGGAACTGGGCAGAGCTGTTCTGTTCTCTGCTAGAGCAGCACTGGCTTTTGTCATCTGTGTTTCTGTCACTGCTGTCAGTGGATTTAGGCAACTGCAAAAGAGAGACTGAAGCAGCCCCTAAGAGCTAGCAATTTGAAGCATCTGCTACCAATAAAAATTAATTGGAGGTTGCTTAAACCCTTTACCTTTTCTCTGCTTTTTGTTTAGAAGGCATGAAAGGATACCCAGCATTCTTGACTTTCTCTACATAAGAGGCAAACCACTTTGTCATGATGGAAAGTATTGATATAAATTGTGTATAAAAGGCTTGCAACTAGCTGGTCTCTTTTTCTAGGAGCAGCCCAGTAGCAGGTGATAGCCTGAAGCAGGTCCCAGAAACTGTCCCCTCTGGATTCTGCATTTGCTGCTGGGTGGATATCCATTTGGCAGGGTGCATTTTTCAGAGCAAAGGAAAACTGAGAATTCCTGTGCACAGGTCCCTGAGCAGCAGGACTCCTGGCTGATGGCTGATGGCAGTGCTTCTCAGGACCAGAGATGAGATCTCTTCCTGGGAGATAAGACTATGGAGCCAATGGTTTTACTGTGGGGTTTGTGAATTGGGGTCCCAAGGCTGTGAGCTTGCCCAGCTGCCAAGAAGATGGCAGCAACAGGGAATTCCCTTGGCATGGGGATACCCACCTGCATGTCAAAGTGGGGGGTTTCTGTTTGCTTGGAAAACCTCCCAGTCCTGCTCCTGTACTCCTTGGGGTTGTTGCATGGCTATGGCTGTTTTTTAAATGTGGTCGTTTTCTGGGTAGACCTTAATAGTATTTTAGAGCTGCTTGGGTGTCTGTGGGTGAGACTGATATTCTGTTCTTTTATTTACTTTAGTTGTAGCTTTGCAGCAGTAATGGGTAGCTATGGGTCATGTGTTGATGCCAACCCTAATTTTTCCAACAGTTACATTCTTCTGTCCACCCCCTTTTTCACATTTTACATTTTTGGAAGCCTCAGAAACAATTCCCTCCTCCCATTCGTGGCTATCCTGTGATTCAGTGGACCATCCCATTTTCAGGTCTTTGCACAGGGGCTCTTTCCCTTTCCCCGAGGTAATTTTGTCCTGTTGGTTTGAAAGGGAGCTCTTTGTTTTCTCCCTCTACAGGAGACCATAACTGCACTGGCTCTGATCTGCCTGGGAGCAGCCCAAGACAGCTGAGGTGAATTACTTTTGGGAGAGTATTTTTCAGCCCCTTCAACCCCATGAGGCGGTGAAAGACTGAGATCCCCTTTCAAGAGCTCATAGACATGAGGGGCCTGGCACAGCTGCCAGTTGTGGTTGCCTAGTGCCACATGGGCATCAGACCCATCCACCCAGGAGCAGCAGATCTGATAAATTCTTTAGGGAAATCCATGGCACTGGACTAGGCCTTCAGTGATGTCTGTAAACACTCAGCTCCCTGGAAAAACTTTAGGTGGCTGTGTCCATGTGACTGTGTAGTATAATGCTGCTTTGTGTTGGAATTAGTTTCTTTGTCTTTTGATTTAATTGGGATTATTCTCCAAGAGGTCCCTGAGCAGGCTGATTGTATGCTAGCTGTTGGCATAAGGGTGGAAGGGGGCACACATGGCCATGGGGAAGAGCAGTGGAGGTAGGATTTCTCCTTGCCCTCAGCATAGCTGATATAGCTTGGCTGATACTGCCTGAGGAGCTGCATCTCTGAAATCAGCAAAACCCAGGCCATGCTCCCACAGCCCTCCCTGTATAGGCAGGGTGTGTTCTGGGACATGAGTGTGTTTAATGGGGCAGTAAAATCTGATGAAATATGTACTTAGTTACCTGAAGTATTTCCTGCAAACTAATATCGTAATATTTTTGTGTGTGCTGGAGCAATGAGTGTAGGAAGCCACAACATGTGGGCTTTGTCTGCTTAATAGAAAGTGTATGTAATTGCCTCAGTGTAATACATTTTTATTTCCCTCAGGACTTCTCATAGGTTTTTACTTATTTACAATATTGTTGTTTATGGACAAAAACAATTTGCAGGATTAGTTGAGATGATTATCTACAGTACTGATTCTGGTTTGACTTTGTATTATCAGAGTAGGTGAAAACATCTGGATGAGAACAGTCACTGAGAGCTCAGATAAAATAGAATCATAGTATAGTTTGGGTTGGAAGGGACCTTGCAGGCTGGCTAGTTCCAACCCCCTGCCATGGGCAGGAAGAGCTTCCACTTGACCATGTTACTCAGAGCCCCATAAGAACTCTTCTGTAACTCAGCATTTCACATGTCTGTTGTGTGTAGACACTGTGTGTAGTTATTCAAGTGCAGAAGCTGAGCCAGAGATAGAAATTTATTTCACTTCTGCTTCTTTTTCCTTCTTTGCCTGTCACTTCATAGACTCTGAGTTATTACTGGCTGCCCAGACAGCCACCTTGAAAGATTGTCTTATGTTGTGGGTTGTAGGAATAAATAATTTCTGCTCTGTATTTAGGGGTTGACAATGCTGACAGTTCCTTCAGATGGACCTGTGGCCTCTTGTCCCCTCAGAGTCCATCAGAGCCTGCCAGGTGGTGAGTGTGTGCCTGATGCCCTGTGGGGTCTCATCAGCCAGCGGTGGTGGCTGCTAGCAGGTGTGAGAAGAAATCCCACAGATTAGGCAGATTCTTGTAGAGGTTTTTATACTCTGCCTTCTATCATATAGATGAAATCTAGATTTTGTGTGGAATGCCACAATTGAGGTTTTTATCTCATTCTGTTCAAGAGAAACATCTTCAGTGCTTCAACTCAGGGCTTGATGTCTAGTGCCACTGAGCCTCAGCAAGGTGGTCCCATTTTTTCCAATGCCTGCTGGTACTTTTGATGCCATGGGGACTGCTTCACCTGTGCTATGAGGGACCCAAGCCAGGAAGGCAGGAAGCTGTCTCCATGGAGAAAAAGATTTTCTCTCCATTTGCCTTGGCTCAGGAAGCACCCCAGAAACAGTGAGGATCTCTTCAGCTGGCACCATCACCAGAGAAAAATATTGTCATGGTACATCCCTACAAACAATCACCAGGACATTTTAAATACTTAAGCAATGGCATTTCCAACCATGGCTTTCAATTAGGAAAAGCTCTTAGCAAGTCAAGGTGTCCATAGGAAATGTGGGTGGGAGTCAGAGGACAGCATAGCCACAGCACAGGTGGGTTTCAATCAGGACATCTTTCCTCTGCAGGAAGGAAGAGAAAGTCTGTTGAAGGCAAACCCTCCTGGGGTTTTTTATGTTATTTTTTCTGTCTCTGTAGGATACCTCAGTCTCCAGTCTGCTCCCTGATGCACTGCAGATGTTACCTTTTACAGGTTAATCAGTAAACCAGTCCCTGAGCATGGGGAAAGTAGAGACAAATGTCCTCACCCAGCTTTCTACTGGTGTACTCATCTGTGAAGACTGCAGTGAAGTTTTTCCTGTTCAACACCATCCCTTCAGCTCTTTATTCTAAAACTCTTCACTGAAAGCAAACAAGAGTATCAAAACACTGACTCCATGTCATCCTGTTGTCCTTTACCTGTGAGATTTCAGAGTTCATGCAGTTTCAGTTTCCTTTATCTTATTGGGAAATGTGTTTGGGAGAAAATGCATACCATTTCTTAGGTATTACAGAAATGTATTTTATTTTCAGCCCTAATAAATCAAAACTTAGGAAGAGGACTTTCTTCAGCCTTTCAAATGCAACCTTTTTTAATCTCTTATAGGGAATTCAAAACTTAACTCTTATAATGAAGCACATGACCATAGAATGGGTGAGGTTGGAAGGAATCACAGAATGGCTAAGGTTGGAGATCATCTGGTTCAACCTCCCTGCTCAAGCAGGGCCCACTAGAGCACATTACTCAGAATTGTGTCCAAAAGGCTTTTGAGTCATTCCAGAGAAGGAGACTCTACAACCTCTCTGGGCAGCCTGTTTCAGTGCTCTGTCAGCCTCACAGTAAAATAGTTCTTCCTATGTTCAGATGGAATCTCCTATATTTCAGTTTCTGCCCACTGCAGCTAGAAGCAAGAAGCATTGCACGATTTTCCAGTGTTGTTCTGCTGTCAAGAATCCAGCAACTTTCCATGGTTTTATGCCCATTTAACTAGTTTCTGCTAGAAAACAATTTGTGGCTTTAGCTCATAAATGCAGGACTCTCACCTGGGCTAGCTTGCACACAAGCTCTCAGGCTCTGCCAGAGCTATAGGTCTGACCTGATAAGGGTTGTGTTCTGATTAGCTTTAGTGTGACCAAGAAGCTGACACAAGAGGGCAAAATTGAACACTGGTTAGAAAATATTGCCCATATCTTTTTTTAACCTCATACATCCGATCTGCTGTGCTGAACATCAGCTGCAGATGTAAAGATCACATCTCTGATGGGAAATGAGCACACAGCTTATAGACTGCAGCCTCCAGCTTAAAAAGGGAGATCAGCTGCTGTTTGGGAACTTGCTCATGACTCAAAGGTAAGGGAAATAAATATGGGAAAGCATTACCCCTTGCCTGTCCTTTTCCACAACACTATAAGCATGTCTGTATCATCCCAGTTCTCAAATTCCATAGGGAAGTATAGGGGTTTTTTCCATCAACCACTGCAAGCAGAGTGGGAGCAAACCATGAATTCCTATGAATATAGAGGAGGCTGGACATGGGGCAGCAGGTCTGGGACAATGGGGGTGTAGCCCAAAGACTGGAGGCAGTATGCAGTTTTATCAGCCTGCTTGAGGAGTGACCTGCTTATCTGGTTTCCACCAGGCACTTCTTAGGGTCCCAGAGCAGAATTTCCTAGTGTGTGCTATTGGCAGGCCTCTAGTATCCTGCTTGGGTTCCCC